AATATAATAGCAGAATTAATGACAGACTTGATAATATCTTATCCTGTAATTTCTACATTTACCAGGTTTATGAACCTCTAAATATTTCACAGCTGGAGAATAAGTTATATGTTTGTTTTAAGTAAGAATAGGAACTTGAAGTGTAACAGAGGTAAAGTTGCTTAAAAGTATATGCGTATAGCTTAGTGTTTTCTGCTGGGGTCAGTGGGCAGGGTGGGCACAGGCTTTCTCTGTTGCCTGAGCTACAGTGCAGTGGTATGATCATAGCTCACTGAAACCTCAAACTCCTGGGCTCAAGTGATGCTCATGGCTCAGCCTCCCGAGTAGCTAGGCCTACCTGTGCTGCCATAACCCAACTAATTTTTAAAGTTTTTGTAGAGATAAAGTCTCATTATGTTGCCCATGCTGCTCTCAAATCCTGGCCTCAAACCATCTTCCCACCTCAGCCTCCCAAAGTATTAGGCTTACAGGCGTGAGCCATCGCGTCTAGCCCTAGCTTATTTTTTATATGTTAATTGCTATTCACTTTTCTTCTTCTGCCTTACTGAATCTTGCAATTCTTTAAGGTTCAAGTTGAGGGCCTCCTTCTTGGCTGAGACTTCCAAACCACTCCAGTTATGAGTGTTATTGTCCTTTGAGCACTTACTATATATATTATATACTGTTTAATTGTTACTTACACCTGTACTATCAATTATGTTTCATAATTTAGTAACTTAAGAGTATTAATAGAAGTCCAATGAGAGCAAATTTTATATCCTTTTTATTCATTTTCCTTATGGAACTTAACACATACTATAAATTTGCTAAATATTGTTGTTTGCTTATTAACACATGATGTGTAATTGACAAATTATGAGGTAAAAAGTTGTTCAAAGTCAATGTTTACATTAACCACCGAATAATAGAAGGTTTTAAACTCTCTTTGATGTTAAAGAATAATTAAAGTATCTTACATTCCAAATTAAATTATTTTTAATCATTACCATCTTTAGATCGAGGAAGGGATGACCCAGCTCTTTGCCTAGAGCTTTAGTTGGTCTTGCCATATACGCTTCTGGCCACACTTCTCTTCATAAAACTATGAACTTGAGGGATGAGAAAATATGTCACTTAGAATTTATGCTTTCTTTTATACCATACCATAGATATTCAATATCCCCCAAATTCCTTGCTCAAATGGTTTCAAGTCTACCTTCAGGAGCTTCATGGCTTCTTATTAAGATCCATCCTCCAGTGGGTGCACTGTGCCCTGGTATGTTCTGCCTATGTTGAATGGAGGACCAAAGCTGGCAGCTTTTGTAGCCAAGGAAAGATACAGTTAGTGCATGAGGGCTGAGATGCTCATACATGTACATATGTGAAGCTCCTCATGGTATGGGATAGAGGTACAGTCAGGGAAGATAATAGAATTGGCATTGACTAAGGCTAGGGGCTGGCTCTCTATGAACCACCAAATGCTGCCACAGAATACTAAGGATTCCAAGTATTTTAAAAATGAACCTGGCCTCTCAGAGTGTTATACAAATATCTTTACAAAGTAGATAAATAAAATATATTTAAGGTTTGATCTTATTTGAAGAATAATTTATCATTTAAAAATATTTAGGCAAATAGTATGGGAGCCCCCATGCTCACATTCTTGCCTTGGGCCCATAGATGTTTAGTGTCCTTATTTATTTTAATATTTGAAAATTATAACTAAAGGTTGTATATATATAAAGACAAATATAACTACTGGTGACCCTTGTACAATACAAGAGTTTGGTAGGCAACCACTTGTGTAGTTGAAAATCTACATGCAACTTTTGACTACCCCAAAACTTAACTATTAATAATAATGGCCTACAGCTGACCAGTAAGTAGCCTTACTGATAACAGTCACGTAACACCCATTTTGTATGTTGTATATATTATATACTGTATTCTTGCAAAAAATATGCTAAAGAAAGAAAATGTGATTAAGAATACCAAAAGGAAGAGAAAATATATTTACTATTTATTAAGTGGAAGTGGGTTACCATGAAGGTCCTCATCTTCATGGCTTCCATGTTGAGAAGGCTGAGGAGGAGCAGGGAGAGGAGGAGTTGGTCTTGCTATCTCAGATATAGCAGAGTTATAAGAAAATCTGCATATAAGTGGACCTGTGCAGTTCAATCTTGATTTTGTTCAAGGGTAAACTGAATATATAAATGCAACATTTCCAAAAGAAACATTATGTCTAAAATGTGTTATAATTTCTACATCTACTGGTTATATTTTATAGAAAATTTCATGGTCTTTTAAATCTATTCCACTCTCGAATTTAAATTCTTGTTTTAGGCAATTAGATTCAATTTTATTTATCTAATATAAATGAATTTCTATATTCCTTGATAAGATGAAATGTACCAGTTGATCTGTTCTGACTGGGTACCTGAGTCTAATTTTGATTTCCTTTTTTTAAAAAGAAGAAGGAAGAACAAACATTATTGTTCATCAAACATCACAAATTTGACCTAGAAAAGGGCTAATTATTTAGTTAAGTATCTTTATGCACTGTCTTTGAGAAGAATCACATTTGACATTATGTGTATGTATTTGGGTACTCCCTTATTCCTTGGTGAATATATATTACATTTTTTTTTTTACTCATGACCTTTCTCTACACCTAAACATTCCCCCAACCCTAAAAAAATTTTAAATAAAGAAATTTATAATTTCATAAATTATTTTTTCCAAACAAGATGCAATTTTTCACATTTTAGTTAAATGAATCTCACATTTTAGAAGAAAATGTATAATGAGCATGGTAAATACTTCAGTTGATAGAAAGAGATATATTTTGAAGATATTAAAATGTAATTACTCTAAAAATTTTCTGGAAATATAGTTCTATAGTCCTATATGGTATAGGAGAGGATGTAGTATAGACAATAATAATTACATATTTGTATTACCTGAAAAACAAAATCAAGTTTGATTTGAAATTTATCCAACATTAGAATAATCAGTAGGTGAATATTTTAGAAGCTCTCCTATAAGTAAAATGCTTAGGATTTTGGATATTTATTTTGACAGTTCCCAGATTGTATTATTATATTTCTTATTATTTAATATTATCTTTGTTTACAGTTATATTCAGAATGATTAGTGGCAGTCTAAATGAGCTGTGAGAACTCTGGTTTGCCTTTAAATTTAAATGTGATAGTAATGTGAGACCTATGATATATTATGGTGAAAGGTATTTAGATGGGCAATTTTATTATTGAATTGCCCCTGTTAAACAATGAGTATATCTTATAAAATTATATCCACAGCTCAAAAGGAAGTCATTGTTTTTGTTTGTTTGTTTTGTTTTTCTTTCTGGGAAATGGCTTCTGAATTTCAAGCATGCAATTTACAAATAAAATTTTTAGTTAGAAATTGTGGTTAAGCTTTTTCACAGATAATATAAATTATTTGTAGAAATTTACAGTGGATAATTAAAAGTACTTAGTGGCATAATAGTACTGTATAGTGAAAAGAGTAGCCATTCTGTTAGAAGCTATACTAGTTGAAATTCAACCAGCCTTGATTAAGTAACTCTCTACAGCCAATTAAAATGAGAAAGTGCAAGCAGAATGTATTAAGTAATCTTATTATAAATCATTGAAGTATGATATCAGGAAAAAGAATACTTATTCACTGTAGCAAAGCATTTATCATTTCCAGTATACTCTAGTAGAAATGGTAAACTATGATAACTAATATATTTTCCCCAAATGGCTATAAGGTCACTAGATTTCATTTTCATTTACTGAAAATTCTCAGATATAACCATACAAATGAAATACAGTTACAACCTAAATTTACAATATAGAATTATGCAATAGTAAAATATATAAATACTGATGATATCAATTGATTTCAAGGCACTCAGATATTTATTAAATTTCTAAAAAAAGGATAAACACGGTCTTTCTATGAAATTAAGTGGCAAAATGCTTGTATGTAAACATGCAGAGGTGAAGATAATCCAATAATCTAGCTCAGAGGAAACACCAACGTACTTAAAATGTTTATAAAGACAGTTTTCTTGACCCCTTTCTGACTCTGTGTCCTTATTACCTAGTGTGCTTCTAATGCCCACTCACATTGTTCCTAACATATACCTGTATACTCCTGCCTCAGGTATTATACTCACTGTTTCCTCTTTGCAAGGTTCACTCTCTCATCTCTAAAACATTGCTTAAATGTCACCATCTCAGTAAGGCCTTTTTAGACACCACATTTAAAATTATAACCCCTCTTCTCCATTTCCTTGGTTTGTTTTTCCCCATTATACTTTCCACTACCATATTATTCAATTTAATCATTCATACTTCTATTGTCTCTCCTCACTCTAAGATAAGCCCATAAATGCAGGGAGTTTTTGTCTAGCTAGTTAACTGCTGTATTGTCAGTATTCAGAATAGTGCATGATAAATGTTTCTTGAATAATTCTAAAGCCTTCCTGTGTCTACTTTCTATCAAAATAGCCATGAAAATATTTAATTGAATATTAGTAAACATACCTCAATTTCTGGAAAATTATATGTGAGGAAAGATGGGAAAACTGAAGTGCATTTGTCATGGGTCTAGTTATTTTATTCAGATAATGGATGCTATTGAATGCTCTTATAGTGTTCCAGGAACTATTTTAAGTGCTTTACATATATTTAACTTATTTATGCCTTATAGCAACCCTGTACTATTAACTCCCTTTTACAATTGGAAAACTGGAGATTAAAAAAAAAAAAAATTGCTTGGTCATGCATTCAGTATGTAGGAAGGAAAGACAGGCCAGCTGATTCCAGAACCCACTCTTATCCAAAGGCTTGTGGCTAAAGAAAGAGCTGCTGCGTTGTTGATTTGAAGAGCTTCATTTGTCCCATTTTTAATCATTTTTCTTTCGCTAAAACAAAAAAATGTAAAGTAATCATTTTTGTTTAACCACTGTGGTTTTATAATTTAATTACTTTTTTTTTTCCTTCTTGCAGTGGGACGCCATCACGGAAATGGATGAACACAATAGGCCCATTCATACGTACCAGGTATGTAATGTAATGGAACCAAACCAAAACAACTGGCTCCGGACAAACTGGATCTCCCGTGATGCAGCTCAGAAAATTTATGTGGAAATGAAGTTCACACTGAGGGATTGTAACAGCATCCCATGGGTCTTAGGGACTTGCAAAGAAACGTTTAATCTGTATTATATGGAATCAGATGAATCCCACGGAATTAAATTCAAGCCAAGCCAGTATACTAAGATCGACACAATTGCTGCTGATGAGAGTTTTACCCAGATGGATTTGGGCGATCGCATCCTCAAACTCAACACTGAAATTCGTGAGGTGGGGCCTATAGAAAGAAAAGGATTTTACCTGGCTTTCCAAGACATTGGGGCGTGCATTGCCCTGGTTTCAGTCAGAGTTTTCTACAAAAAGTGTCCCTTCACTGTTCGGAACTTGGCCATGTTTCCTGATACCATCCCAAGGGTTGATTCTTCCTCTTTGGTTGAAGTCCGGGGCTCTTGTGTGAAGAGTGCGGAAGAGCGTGACACTCCTAAACTGTATTGTGGAGCTGATGGAGATTGGCTGGTTCCTCTTGGAAGGTGCATCTGCAGTACAGGATATGAAGAAGTTGAGGGTTCTTGCCACGGTAAGAAATAAACGTTTAATAGTTTATCTTTTATTTAAATGATTTTTAGAAAGTAAATATGTTATACATTATTTTCAAATAATAAATATTTGAATGCTATTCCTGACAATTATGCAAAAAATGGATTCATATTAAGTATAAGAAAATTGCTGATTTTTTTTCTCCTAAGAAAGGTGTATGAAATTTTATCATATTGCTTTCAGTAAAGTAGTTAAGTAATAATGAATTCCTATATTCACCTAATTTTTATAAAGGAAAGGAACATAAATAGCAGCAAAAGAGAAAAAAAAAGCCCTGGGGATTCAAAATGGGGATTTGCATGATCTTCATGCTTTGGTTGTTTATAGAAACTATGACATTTAAAAACAATTTAAAAATAATTCTTTCTTTCATATTGAATTGCAATAATTGAATAGTTTTTAAATGGAATTCAGAGCAAGACCCTGTCTCAAAAATAATAAATGGAATTATATTTACATAAATGAGGATTTCATATATGTTTTATTTAAAAAACATATAGGCTAGTTTATATGGGTGTTATGTATTTTGTGGTTGAATATTGACCTTACCAATTTATCCTTTGCTATTACTATCTTTTACTAATATTCAGTGCAATTTCCCACCCTATAATATATTAGCTTTTTATATTAATAGCAGTATTTATATAAGATCTAATTATTAGTAAATATTAACACTATACAGTGCTAGTTAACAACTCTAGCTTTCGTGTTGTAATAATGAAATTCTCATAATTTTCAAGAGGACACATTTTTCTCTTTTTATTTGATTCATTTGGTGAGGACTTATTAACCTAATAAATATATACATTTAAATATTATATACTCCTGATTAATAGCATCTATTAAGTTATATTTCACTTAAGGACCTATAATCAAAATGCAAAATATAAATACAATTATTTCTTGGTATATAGTATCATATTAGAGATATTTCCCTCTAAATTATAACTTATTTGTAAGGCTTTTTCAATAGCACTATATTGAATATATTGACTTCTTTGTCAATGTTATATTCACATTCACTAAAAAGTATCATAATAAAATGATCTGATTAGGAATTTCTCACAATAAGACATACAAATGGCCAATAAGTATATGAAAAAAAAATGCTCAACATGATTAGTCATCAGAAAAATGCAAATCAAAACTATAATGAAATATTGTCTCACCCCAGTTAAAATGGCTTCTATCAGATAGGCAATAACAAAAGCTGAACAGGATGTGGAGAAAGAGGAGCATTTAGTGCAACCACTATAGACAACAGTATTGAGGTTCCTTAAAAAGCTAAAAATAGAACTACTATATGATCAAGCAATCTTATTGCTAAGTATGTTTCCAAAAGAAGGGAATTCAGTATATTGATAAGATATCTGTACTCACATACTTATTTACAGCAGTATTTACAATAGCCAAGATTTCAATCACTATAAGTGTCATCAACAGATGAATGGATAAAGAAATTGTGGTGTATATCACAATTGACTATCATATAGCCATAAAAAGAATGAAATCCTGCTACTAGCAGCAACATAGATGGAACTGGAAAACATTGCATTAAGTGAAATAAGCCAAGCACAAAAAGACAAAACTTGCATGTTCTCACTCATACATGGGAGCTAAATATTAAAAATCATTGATCTCCTGGAGATGGAGAGTAGAATGATGGTTACCATAGGATAGGAAGGGAAGTGGGGAGAGGGAGATAAAATGGGGATGGTTAATGGGTACACAATGATAGTTACCTAGAATGAGTAATATTTGATAGAACAATAAAGTGATTATAATCAACAATTATTTAGAATATACTTTAAAATAAAAGAATGGAATTGGAACATCTTAATATAAATAAATGATAAATGCCTGAGATTATGAATACCCCAGTTACCCTGATTTGATTAATCCACATTATATGCCTGTTTCAAAACATCACATGTACCATATAAAGATATACAACTATTATGTACTCATAATAATTAAATATTTAAAAATGGAATAAAATAAAATAAAGGATCAGAATATATAATTAAGATAAAACATACTTGTAGGTATATAAGAGTCATGGGTAATATACATGAATTTTTAAAGGCTTTATCTATTTGTAAAGCACTAGGGTTCTTGACCCTTCAAAAGTTCACTAAAGCCTCCAATTATGATTATGTTTGGTAACTGAAGAATATTAATATTTTTATGAGAAGTCTATAGTATATATTTTTAAAGCATGAATTGGTTTTCCTCTAATATTTCATTATTAAAGCAGATTTCATTCAAATTTATCAATATAGATTGAATCTAAAATTTTTATTCACCTACAAGAATATATAATGGAGCAAAGATAAATTATAAATGATCCTGGAGGAATCTAAGAATACATCACATTGGAAAGTAAACTGAAGAAAAATTCATACTTACAAATAATTATTTAGTGAAGTTGGAAAAACAATAAAGCTGAGGAGAAAATATATTACGCATAGTAAACATGTAGTTTTAATGAGTTTTAAATTAGGTAGAAGATGGCTATTGGTAAAAATAATAATGTTTTAAACATATTTAAAGAATAATTTAATAATCTAAGGATTTATGTGTTTAGCTGTTTTTAAATATTTGTATTTCTTTATGGCATTGAACACAGGGTTAAAGTGACCAACCATGATGGCTAGATATTTTTTTAACTTAATATACTTACTGTATGAAATTTTATTATTATTTCTATGTCTTAAAATTTCTTCAGTTGTTTGACAAAGATACTTTTGGGCAAATGATAAATAGCATCAGTTTATCTAGAGCTTCTGATAGTTTTTATGGCTTGCTATCTTTGTTTTTTTTTATTGCAAAAACTCAAGGGAGTAGGCACAGTATATATGTTCATCATCTTATAGCAGATGGCAAAAATTGGAAGAATTAAATTTGAATTTTGTAGCTATGGCTTACTAAAGTTTAAATCAGTTTTCTTATCCATAAAATAGTGGATATAATCAACTAAAGATAAAATACATGTAAAAATGATTAAAATCAAACATATTTGCCTGATTCTAATTGAATATAATAAATTGCTATTTACAAGCAAAAGGGAAGTCAGAGTGGATGTGGAGACCTGATTTTAAAAGATAAGTATTGTACACTTTCACTGGTCTTCATTTTAGAGTATTTACATGTGTGTTTTTGATGCTTCATATTGCCCCTTTATAAATCTTCTGACAATAATTTTATCATTGCTTCTATTGACATCTTGTCCTATTCTTTCCTAACCTCAGCAAAGTCTGCCTTCTGTTTTTATATCTTTTGAACAATCCTTGTGTTTTTAATATCTCCTGCTCTTTTCATATTTTATCTAGCTTCCTGGCACCCCTTTCTTCTAACTTGTTCTGTGATGGAATTTCATTCATCCTTCAAGGTCTAACACAAATGTCATATATCTGAGTCTTCACAAAGTTAAGCCTTCTCTCCTCTGTGCTACAACTTGTGCTAATTATGTAGTGTCTGTTTCACCAGGACTGTTAGATAAAACAGGTGTATTTAAAAATCACATGTGTAATAAAGGATAAGAAATGTATTGATGAGTAATCACAAGACACTGAGTGGTTAAAGGTAGAACATATTAGGACTTCTGTCAGATGCTCTGTTTCTTCTCATTTCTGTTAAATAAGAAAGTGTCCTTCAGGAAGGGTTGCGATATTTTAGATCTGAAAGACCCTAGAAAATACTTCCATCATTTAATGAATCAGGACACTATATTACCAAGAACAAACTTTAATTCCCTGGGGCCACATAATAGTAACTAATACTAGATTGAGAACTCAAGCGCAGATATTTCTCAGTCTGGCCTTTTTTTTTTTTTTTCCCCTCCTTGTTACCTTCTATTCTCCATTTCCTCACTCCATCCCTTTTTTCTTCTCTCTGTTGCATTTCCTTATTCCAGGCATCCCTGTCTTTTGATGCTTTAACTCTTCCTGCCTGCCAAACCTAAAGCACAGGCACCCTAAATTAATCATTATTAATTAGGTTGTTTTTGCCCTATGTTTATTTTGGGGAATCTGATATGGGCACTATTAGAATAAGATTTACACATCCTTTCTGAAATTCAGGCTGTGGAGGATGATGGAAAAATATATAGATTTATCTGTAACTTTGCTTTTAAAGATGAGACACAGGAGCAATTATAGTGAGGCTTAAGGGATTTTCATAGTTTGCTTGAATGAGTTTGAAAATTCTTGGTATGCTATGCAACAAAGACACAATAAGCTGGTTTAAAATAGAATTAATCCATATCTATTTGTGCTATCCATAACTAATGAATGATGTATATTTACTTGAATTTAAACAACGTATTATTATATTTTATCATAAAAGCTATATTACTGAATGTTTGAATTTGTGATTCTTTTCTGAATAATATTGTTATGGTATACCAAGATCCAAATTCTAGTAGCACAAAAGAGAGAAGCGTACTCTTAATCTTGTGATAGCAATCAGGCTAGAATGAACAGAAACATTATATTAAATGTGTATGCTAAAAATCTAAAAGCAATACAAATAATTAAGGTTACAGTATTATACATAGTAAGTGATATTTTAGTCTTGTCTCAAATCTCTCAAATCTCAACTTATTTTTCATAACTATTTTAGTTTTATTTCATATATTCATAATTAAAACTGTCATATTCATGTCAATGTTACAAATTTAATTTTAAATTGTTTTAATTCTACCTAGTGTAAGTTTTCCTAAAGGTTAAAATTTAAAAATAATTTTGATATGTAAAGCACCAATTTACATCAAATAGTCTTTGACTTAATATATCTAAAACTGTTTTAACACTATGGAAGAAATAATTAGAAACAATTAACATTCAGAATTGAATGCAATTTTTGTTCAGTTGTGTGAGTTCTGAAGTGACTTGAATTCCTAATAAGCTCCTCTTGAACATTAATTTAGGATGAATCTCATTAAGGTAGTGGTACTTGTACTTAAAGATATAAGTTTGG